AAGGCGAGTCACAGTTATAACTTGAGATACTGATCTTTAACTGTAATCAAATTTCAGAAAAATTCATATTTGCCTTCATTGGAGGCTTATGAATTGCTTAAACTTGTTTGATTGAATGATTGACATCTCGTATAAAAACCCGTAATTTAACAGTTATTTTAAGACTAAAACTAAGTCTTTGCTGCCTTCATTCAAACAGGAGATAAATGAAAAGCTATAAGACAGTGTTTAAAACTCCTTAGAATATATACAGGTGTCCCGGAACTCACTACCAATATTGTTCCTGAGTACGAAACATATCTAAATATCATATTTAAATAATTGTCCTCAATAAAAAGTCCTTAATAACTCATACAACCGCCATTTTCTTTTTCAAATATAAATTTTTTTCTATAAAGTGGTTAACCCTTTCAGTGCTATGGAACGATATATCGTTGTTTTAAAAAATGTCTAAGGGATTGTGGTGATGTGAACATTATCACCTGACAATATTTATTATTTGATTTGTTTGTAAATATTGTATTTGTTCTTAACTAAAACATGGTTGTAATTTTGAATGAATAAAAGCCATACTTTTGGTTTACTAATTCTTTCTTACAACAATTTATTATTCATTGATAAACTCAGTTAGTTTATCCATTACAATGGAGAAATTCCTTAGACCAGACAAATTGCAAATTGACCCGGAATCTCCAACTGCCTCAGAGGAATGGACGCACTGGTTACAAACATTCGAAGACTTTCTAACCATGACAGAATTCGTTGAAGACAAGGACAAACTGAAACTACTAACTAATCGATTATCTTTTACTACTTATAGATTTATCAAGGAATCTGAAACTTACCAAGACGCTTTGAGAGTTCTTAACTCAATTTACATCAAACAACAGAATGAATTCTCAAGATATTTAGTAATGACTAGAAAACAGCAACAAGGTGAGACTATTGACAAATATGTGTCGGAACTGAAACTTTTGAGCCAAGATTGCGTTTTTAAAGCTGTTAATAATGCAATTCAATACAGGGATCACTACATTCGTGATGCTTTTATCAATGGCTTAGCCTCATCATACATACGACAGAGACTATTTGAAAATAAAACTTTAGACCTAGCTGAAGCAGTGGAACAGTCTAGAGCTCTTGAAATGGCTCAAGCTCAAGTCGAGAGCTATCCAAAATCTATGTACGGAATGCAAACTTGTGCAACGAATGAATTGGCAAAGCAAGCTTGTCAGTAAGAATTCCCACTACAACAAAAGGAAGAAGCGACTGTTTCCGCTATTAAAAATGTTGATGGCAAGTGTTATTTTTGTGGGCATGACAGACACTCTAGAGATCACTGTCCAGCCAGAGAAGCAACTTGTGGGAAATGTAACAAGACAGGGCATTATGCGAGAGTCTGTAAAAGTAATCCAACTCAACATTTTAAAGTAAAACAGAAGACGTCCAGTACATCAGCTGCACTAATAGCAACAACACATAATACATAATAGTATTGAAGGACTCTACAGTTGAAGCTAAAGTGAATGGCCTGAAAGCAAATTACTTAATAGACACCGGGAGTACATCAAGCTTTGTAAACTTGAAGTTTGTTCAGTTAAACAAAATTAAAATGTATAATGAAAACAGCTAATTTGAACTAAGCAATGTGAATGTATAATGAGTATCACTAGCTGCTTCTAATATGAAATCAAACGTCCACGGGTTTGTTAAAATCAACCTAAATCTGTTGAATCACAATTACAACAATTTTAAGTTGACTGTTCTTGAAGATCTTTGTACTGACGTGCTTATCGACATGATATCATGAAACTCCACTCAAGTATACAGGTTTGGTTTGGAGGTAAGAAACCTCCTCTGTTGGTGTGCTCCTGTGCCAAAGTTGAACCACCCAAACTATTCTGCAATTTAACTCTAGATTGTAAGCCAATAGCCACAAAATCACGACGTTACTCAGATGAAGATATGCAATTTATAAAACAAGAAATGGAAAGACTACAGACTGAGGAGATCATTAAACCTAGTTCGTCACCTTGGCGTGCACAAGTGTTGGTTGTTACAAACGACAAAGGGAGAAGTTAGAAGTTGTTACAAGCGACTGTGTGTGGACTATTCGCAAACGATAAACAAATTTACTCTGTTAGACGCCTATCCCTTACCAAACATAGATGATCTAGTATCCACTGTAGCGACAAACAAGGTTTTTAGTGCCATTGATCTAAAGCAAGCATACTATCAAATACCAATTTCTGACGAAGAGAAGAAGTACACTGCTTTTGAGGCTGCTGGTCGTCTTTTTCAATTCAGAAGAATCCCATTTGGTGTAACCAACGGGGTGGCATGTTTTAAAAAGACCATGGACCAAATCATTAGAAAAGAAAAACTGGATGGAGTGTATGCCTATCTGGATGATTTGACCGTATGTGGAAAGGATCATGATGAGAATCTAAGAACATTTTTAGATGCTGTAACTAGGTATGGACTTGTAATCAACAACGAAAAGAGCAAGTTCAACCAGTCTTCAATAACCTTGTTGGGACATTTAGTTTCCCATAAGGCTAGAATCTCTACTGTCACTTTCTGTGCCCAAAGACCAAGTTTCACTAAAGCGAGTCCTAGGATTTTTCGCTCACTATTCAAAATGGATACATCGGTTTTCTGATAAAATAAGAAACCTGACACAAGTCAATTCTTTTCCTTTGTCACAGGAAGCGGTTGCAGATTTTGAAGCCCTCAAACTTGACATTGCAAAATCAGTAATTACTCCTAGGAATGGGCAAGAGCCACTAGTAGTGGAGACTGACGCATCTGACATAGCCGTGGCAGCAACTTTGAGTCAAGATAATCGGCCGATTGCTTTTTTCTCACGGACTGTAAACAAATCTGAGAAGCTGGATTCAGCTGTTGAAAAAGGAGCCGTTGCCATTGTCGAAGCCCTTCGAAAATGGAAACCATTTCTTATCGGAAGAGACTTCAGATTATACACGGATCAGCAAGCTTTATCATTTATCTTTGACAAGAGGCATACAAGCAAAATCAAGAACGATAAAGTTATGAGATGGCGACTAGAGCTAACACCTTATCAATATAAAATAGTGTACCGACCTGGTAGGGAGAATGTAAAAGCAGATACGCTCTCTCGGGCATGTGCGGTTCGCTGGGATAATGCCAAGTTGTTTGAATTACACAAATCTCTCTGCCATCCGGGAGTCACTCGAATGTTTCATTGGATTAGAACTAAAAATCTAAACTACACTCTGGATGATGTAAAAAGGATGACGTCAGCTTGTCAAACATGTGCAGAAGTGAAGCCAAGATTTCACCAATTCCAAGGCAAATTGATAAAGGCAACCACTCCCTTCGAACGTCTAAATATTGACTTTAAGGACCCTCTTCCATCAACAACCAGAAACCGTTACCTTTTAACCATGGTTGATGAGTATTCTCGTTTTGTATTTGCTTACCCCTGTAAGGACATTAGTTCAGCAACAGTTATCAGATGTTTTTCAGATCTATTTTTTATGTTTGGAGCCCCGTCCTTTGTACATTCAGATAGAGGTTCATCTTTCATGTCGCGAGAGCTGACTGACTTGCTTCACAAGTACGGAGTAGCAACAAGTCATACAACACCTTATAACCCTAGAGTTAACTCTCAGATTGAACGCTTCAATGGAACAACATGGCGAACCATCCTACTAGCTTTGAAAAACCACAACCTGCCAGTTGCTGCATGGGAAGAAGTATTACAGGAGGCTCTTCATTTAGTCAGATTTCTTTTATGCACTGCAACAAACTGCACACCGCACGAAAGATTCTTTATACATAGCAGAAGAACTACCAATGGAGACTCCTTACCATCTTGGCTATCCGCTCCTGGTCCTGTCCTGCTTAGAAAGTTTGTAAGATCTAATAAATATGATGACCTTTTGGAGCCAGTTCAACTTTTGGAATCAAATCCACAGTACGCTCTCGTCAGAAGAAGAGATGGGTCAGAATCACAAGTATCCCTGAGACATCTTGCACCCGCTGGCCTACCTCCTGGTGATCTACCTCGTGAAGACAACACTACTGAGAGAGAGATTGTTGAAAATATAAATTCAGACATTGACCACAATGAAGTTCAAAATGAAACTCAAGAAACGGTATCTCAGACTCAAACTTCAGAGACGGCTGTGGGGGAACTACGTCCAAAGAGGAATGTCAAGCCTCCGTCATATCTAAAGGATTATATATGCTATACCTACCTTGAAAAATAGTGGGGGAGAATGTGGTGATGTGAACATTATCACCTGATAATATTTATTATTTGATTTGTTTGTAAATATTGTATTTGTTCTTAACTAAAACATGGTTGTAATTTTGAATGAATAAAAGCCATACTTTTTGTTTACTAAGTCTTTCTTACAACAGGGATATAGAGAGGAAGGTTATTTTAACAAAAAGTAGCAAAACGGTCATTGGTGACCTGCATGTTCATAGGATACACTAACAACTACTTAGCTAATTATTTGAATTATTCAAATATTCATGTTTATGTTGGTGTCAGGAGTTGTTAAATTATGTGTAATAATTGTGTGAAATTATGTTGTTTTGGGGTTTTCTGTCACATATTTATGTTATTATGTCAGTGTCAGGAGTCGATCTCTTTCAATTTGATTGCATACTAAAATTTTATTATTACCTGTATTTTTTTTTGTAGCCTTAACCTTTGTAACCAGCTAAGTAAATAGTTTTGCGTTTAGGTTTTGAGATTCGGGATATAATTTTTTTAAGTTTCAGTTTCGGCTTTGAGATTCGAAATTTCTGGTTTTGACCATCACTAGGTGATAGAAAGAGGAATTACTCCTTTACTAGAAATGAACTCAAACTATAGGTAGGCCTAAATAAAAATTAAAAAGTTTACTCTTGAAAATGATCATCCCATAATCCTATATACTTCTAAAAGAACTTATCAATAATGATATCATTTAGTTTTAATCCATACAAGTTCCTGTCTCTACCTCAACAATGAAGGGCAGCACAGGGATGTACGTATCAGTGTCTTTGGATAGCCTCGTCAACATCTGACAGCAGTGGAACCTCAGAGGAACGTACTGTAGTGTTGGCACCAGCTTGATACAACCCGTGATCACCTGCAGAACAAAACAAGTAAGGGTACTGTTGGCACCAACTTGATACAACCTGTGGTAACCTGCGGAAAAAACAAGTGCCCTACTGTTGGCACCAGCTTGATACAACCTGTGATAACCGGCAGAAAAAAACAACTGGGGAGTTATAACAATCAATCCTTGTCAACATCTGACACCAATGGAACATCAGGTGAACATACTCTTACTGTACTGTTGGCACCAGCTTGATACAACCTGTGATCACCCGTAAAATGAAACAAATGATGTTTTCCACTGAATTAATTTAGTCAGTTAAATTTAAATAAATATAAACAATGTATCCGATGAAACACTCTTTGTAGTGGTTTTGAAACTCAAGACCATTTTAATCACCTTACAATTTGATAATGGGTTGATCAAGGATTATTCTAACTAAATAACCCACAAAGTTTTATTTATTCTATTCAAACATTCTTTTTTTCATTATTGTACATGAAATTAGCACATAGAATTGCTTCAAAATATTTTTATAAGACTACATTAAAAACTAACCATACTAAAATTTTTCCAATTAATACAGTGGTCTTGAAATTAAAAAAAATTCTTTAGCAATTTTTTTAACTTAATATTACTAACTTCTTTTTTAATGTTATCTGGTAAATTATTATAAAATTTTCCTCCAGCATATGTTGTTTTCTTTTTGTAAAACTCTAGTTTGTGAATAGGCATTGATATGTTTAGCCTGTTTCTAGTATTGTAAGAATGACTTTACCCTAGTAAACCCAACATGTATGACAACACAACAAAAATAAAAATATGAACGAACCTTGAAAGTCTATAGTTTATAAAATATGGTATTTTACTAGGTGGCGTTCGCAGAGGCATCCACAAAATTGAGCGGAGTCATCAAGGGTTCATATGATATTTTTTTTGTCTAACTGAAGTAAAAACAGTATTTTTTCATGCATGCGCTGCGGGTCTAAAGTAGCATTTTTAATATTTAGGGAGTAAAAATCGTTTTTAGCCTCTATGGAGTAAAAATCAGCTGTTGTCAACTCAGTTGTAAATTTCGATTGTAAACGATTGCATGTATCGAATATATGTATCGATTTGTGCTTCGTAATCATTTTAACATATTACAGTCTACAGTCTCTTCCCGTAGCATTTTAGCATTGCAGATACATTAATCCATTCCCAAACTCAACACTGCTCACCTTTACTACTTCCTTCACCACACCCTACGTCGTGGACCTGTTTCCCTCTCTTCCCATAGCATTTTAGGATTGCAGATACATTAATTTAATTGCCAAAGACAGTTCCCACACTCTGCGCTGTTAGCCTTACTACTTCCTTCACCATTTACTACGTCATTGGCCTGTTTCCTTCCTTTCTCATAGCATTTAAGTATTACAAATTCATTTATCCATCTGCTCAAACGGTTCCCCCACTCTGCACTGCCAGCTTTTACTACTTCCTTCACCACTTACGTCGTGGACCTGTATTCATCGCTTTCCATAGCATTTTAGTATTTTAGATACGTTAATCTAATTGCAACAAACATCCCCACTGTCCGTACTGCTAGACTTTACTACTTCTTTCACAATTTCCTATGTCTTGGGCATGCTTCCATCCCTTCTCATAGCATTTCAGCATTGCAGATACATTAAAACTGCTACAAACGGTTTCCAGTTCCCACACTCCACACTGCTCACCTTACTACTTCTTTCACCTGTTTCTACGTCGCGGATCTGTTTCCCTCTCTTCCCATAGCATTTTAAGATTGCAGATACCTGAATCTAATCGTCATAAACAGATCCCACACTCCGAACAGCTCGCCTTTACTACTTCCTTCGCCACTTCCCACATCGCGGACCTGTTTCCCTCCCTTTCCGTAGCATTTTAGGAACGTTGTGATCTTAATCTAATCGTCATAAACAGTTTCCATACTCCAGACTGTTCACCTTTACTACTTCCTTAACCTCTTCATATGTCACGAACCTCAAGCTAGTGTCGTCATTTGATTATAGTACCTGGGGACCGAGCTTTGCTCGGGGAAAATCATTAGTTCACTCTGAAAGCACCGTAGTATTGGAGATGCATAAATCCACACATCTACATCCTACACAATTTCCTACGTCATGGATCTGTTTCCCTCCATTCCATTGCATTTAAAGATTGCAGATACCTTAATATAATCGTCATAAACAGTTCCCACACTCCGGACTACTCGCCTTGACTACTTCCTTCACCACTTCCTACGTCGCGGACCTGTTTTCCTCCCTTCCCATAGCATTAGGATTGCAAATACCTTAATCTAATCATCATAAACAGTTCCCACACTCCGGACAGCTCACCTTGACTACTTCCTTCATCACTTCCTACGTTGCGGACCTGTTTTCCTCCCTTCCCGTAGCATTTTAGGTTTGCTGATACCATAATCTAATTGTCATAAACATTTCAAACACTCCGGACAACTCGCCTAGACTACTTCCTTCACCACTTCCTACGTCGCGGACCTATTTTCCTCCCTTTCCATAGCATTTTAGAATTGCAAATACCTTAATCTAATCGTCATAAACAGTCCCCACACTCCGGACAGCTTACCTTGACTACTTCCTTCATCACTTCCTACGTCGCGGACCTGTTTTCCTCCCTTCCCGTAGCATTTTAGGTTTGCTGATACCTTAATCTAATTGTCATAAACATTTCCAACAATCCGGACAACTCGCCTAGACTACACTTCACCACTACTCCTTCACCACTTCTTACGTCACGGACCTGTTTCCCTCCCTTCCCATAGCATTTTAGGATTGCCCATACCACAACATACCATTGGACAGCTTACCTTGACTACTTCCGTCACCACTTCCTACGTCGCGGACCTGTTTCCCTCCCTTCCTATTGCACTTAAAGCTTGCAGATACCTTATTCTAATCGTCATAAACAGTTCCCGCACTCCGGACTACTCGCCTTGACTACTTCCTTCACCACTTCCTACGTCGCGGACCTGTTTTCCTCCCTTCCCATAGTATTTTAGGATTGCAGATACCCTAATCTTATCGTCATAAACAGTCCCCACACTCCGGACTGCTCGCATTTACTACTTCCTTCATCACTTCCTACGTCACGGACCTGTTTCCCTCTATTCCCATAGCATTTTATGATTGCCTATACTACTTCCTTCACTACTTCCTACGTCACGGACCTGTTTCCTTCCCTTCCCATAGCATTTTAGGATTGCAGATACCTTAATGTATTCGTCATAAACAGATCCTAGACTTCGCACTGCTACCCTTGACTACAATGTATCGAGTAATCTTAAGTATAATCTTTGCTCAATATTAACAAGTGATGTTTTTCCTTTTGTACTGTATTTGTAATTTCCTAGTATACTGTGGGTAGTTGGCTTATTATGAGCACATGCTAAAACTTCAAATCTTTTGTTTACTTTTTACTTGTTATTTAATTCAGCCAACATGGTTACCTAGCAACCCATAAGACTAATGTTAAAAAAATGTGATTTTCAGTTTCATTTTTCTACGGATTCCTGAGAGACTTTTTTAACGCTATATAGATGTTGGCACTCACCGATATGGTCTTTATCACCATGCAAAATTTGAAAACGATTGATTCAGCCGTCTAGGAGGAGTTTGCGTATTACGAAATGCATAAAAGTCGACGTATAAGAGCTTCGCTCGCTTCGCTCGCTCCGCTCAAAAAATTATTTTCACACACTTATTTCCATTGGACTTAAAGATGGGTGACTTTTATTGATTGTGTACATCACATCACAACATACTGAGTTTGGTTTGGTTTGGTAGATGTTGAGCAGAGTATGGCTTATGATATACTACACAATTTTATTCACAATCAAGGAAGGTATTTCTGTGAATGCCAAAATTAAGGCCAGGTATGGTCAGATAACCCTCCTTGCTTAGCTTCAAAGCTCATTAACTTCTCAGGGAAGTTGGTACATACACAGTCGATCAATGTCTTTGTTGTGCTGGTCAGTCTTGTAGCTGGGAGAGGCAGTCGTATGAGTCCAACTCCAAACGTTGACAATTCTTCTTCAAATAGAGTGTTACTGTAATTTTCAATCAGTCTGTCAAAATTCACATCACCCACCATAATAACCTTCTCCTTCTCTGCGTGCAGTGTGGACAGTATTGCTGATATCATATCAACTGGATGTTTTGCCTTGTCCGTTTGGAGGTCTATAGATTCTTAGTAAGTAAAAGGTCATGTTTTTTGTCGTATCTTTGCCAATACACATTCACAGATAAGTTCTGTACACTGATCTCAGTTATCTCTTATATCAATTGGCTCAAATTTTACATCAGCTGTTTCATCAGCATAGACGGCAACCCCACCTAGTCTGTGGTTTTCTCTGGCAAAATCAGTAATTAAATTATAACCCACAAGTTTTGCTTGGTTCAAATTTTTTGATGATAGACTATGCTCTGTTAATATTACAGTCGTGGGGTGAAGTTCGCTTAGTAGGTGATTTAGTCTCTCAACTTTTTTGGAAAGCCCTCGTACATTGTGGTGCATTATTTTGATCTTATGTCTTGAATTTTTTCTTGTATTTGAGTATTGATGAATATTCTTGTCTTGTAGCTGGCAGGCATCTTTTTGAACTTTGTCCTTTTGTCTAGGCGTTGCTCTAAAAAAACATGTTCAGGTTGTTTTGGTTTATTGTCATCTGGTATGTGCATTGTTTTTACACTATTAAGAGCATTAGTTGTGAGACAGGAAGCCTTGTGTACCCTCGAAGCAAGCTGGTCATTTGGCACTACCAATAACAATTTTTTTTAACACATTGAACCAATTGGGTGATAAATCATTATAATCACATAAAACGCACATAGTTTTCTTTTAAGCTCTTTGATTGTCTCTTCCTTTTCTCTGTCCAACTCCTCAAAAGTGTTTTCTAGGGACTTGAGCTTTTGTTTCTCAAACTGGAGCTGGTTTTCCATGTTGGTTACTAATTCAAAAAGCTTGTTTTTCCAAAGTGATAAGCTTTC